ATATTTAGAATCAGCATCAAAAAATGACCTGATTAAGATGTATCTGAGGATTTTTGACAATTTTCATTTTTTTCGAACGTTTCAACTGAGATTTTTGCGAAAAAGTGAAAGTGAAAAATAACGGAAGTTTGACGGTGAAAACTGGAAAACACAAGCGAATTTCCTTGTTTTTTGCTACCTGTTTCAAAAGCATTTACTTTCTCAACAATGTAACAATATTGTCCAAAACCAATACATAACGGTTTTACTGCTATTATGGCAAGTAGAATGATATAAAAACAGTGGCTTCATCTCCTGTCTGGTGAGACTTGAAGCTTTTTGCTCCCGTATGAACGGAATTTTGGCTATTGGTGAAAAACTAAACTTTCTTAGGTCATATCATACTTCAGCGGTATCGAAACGCTATTTTCCAGATTCGGTTTTTGATGGAGAACAAGAATAAAATGCTTCCAGGGTTCCCAAACACATCGTGTCCGAGTTTTATGTTTGCTTCTAAAAGATAAGCCATTTTTTTAAATTTTCGACATTAAGTTTTGATTTGAAAGATTAAAACACACATATTCTTGTTCAACTCGACGTGCTCTATCCAACCATGTATAAATATCACAAAAATAAATCTTGTTTAAGTTTTAATTACCGGCACCTTACTTCAATATTAAAGCTTTTTAAAAAACATTATTATATAGAAATAATTTTTGCTACACATAACAATACACAACTAAACAGCCTAAAATCAGAACTTACTATGCGCCACTCTGCAGACATTTTACTATAAACAATTAATGTTCGTGGTAGTTCTTCTAATCAGAATTATCATAGTGTTCCATGTATTCGCAAGAAGTCTGTCTTTTCAAGTAACTCTGATGTTGGTATCCATGATAAATAATCTGTCTGTCTACACTTTCGTCCTTAAGCCTATTGTACATATTTTCAGCCATTCGAATCAATGTCCGAATCATTCCTTTCTCATCGTCAGAGCTCTCAGCATCTTTGAGCAGCGCGATTTGTTGAGTGACCAGATCAACGGCTTCTTTAGTCTTGCCTTCCTTCACCAGTTGCGCGATTTTTGAATCCATATCGGCAGCCATTTGAATAGTATGCATGCACTTCACTCGAGGATCGATCTCTGTAACGAGCGACTCATCTTCCACAAACTTGAGGAAGAGTGTGCCTTTTATCACTGTTGCTTCACCATTGGGTTCATGTGGTTGATTATACCTCAGCTCATACACGAGAGTCTCAACTTCTGCTTCACTAGACTTCGCTGTTCCAGCAGTCGTGAATTCGCAAAGAATCGATCGCATGTTATTACTATGAAGATCTCCAAGGCTCGCACCAGCGACAATATTCTCATGACCCCAGATCTTTGTCACAACGGCACCATTTTGACCGCGTACAATAAGACGAGCTTGGGATCCACATACAGTAAACACGCTCATAAGAGCCTTCGTTACTAGTGATTCAATTACTTGAGCTGATTCAAGAAAGAAAAATTTAGCTCCACCAGAGTCAGCAATACCCTTCATAATCTCGGCATCGAAATCAGCACCAATCCCAAATGAATCAGTTATGATTCCTTTTTTATTGTATCCAGCAACCAGGTTTGTGAGTTCACCTCTTGTTTTCAGTCCAATATTAGCTTGCCCATCAGAAAAGATGAACATCCGACGTGAGAATCCATTATATCTGTATTTCTCAAGTAGACTAGCACCTACATCGATACCACCTGAAATGTTTGTACAGCCAGCAGTCTTGATATTGTCTATAGCAGAATGAAGAAATTGACTAGCAGATGCCCGTGCATTTTCAAAAATGATAGACACTTCACTACCATATGCGACAAGATGAACAACATCATCCTCATGGAGCAGATTAAGTACAGAGCTAATGGCCCTTTTTGCGAATATGAGTTTGTCATTGTGTTTCATCGAACCACTACGATCGAGAATGAGCACTAGATTGACTGGTGCTCTTTTCGTTGCCTCTCCTATGCTGTTGGTTTCAATATCAAAACGTGCTCTTTTGACGTTTAGTACCCCAGAAATGGCATTCCGATTGTCTGGAACGCATCGAAGTTCTACTGTAGCCAGTTCATTCTGGGCGCTCATTTTGATCCTCTTATATTAGCACTTTTGCCGATAAGCGATACTTAAAATAAAAAATAAAGTTAAAGATAAAGATGAAGGATTAGCTGGTGACACACTGTGAAAAAGAATAAATGACACACTAAAAGTGAACGCCCAGCGAATCCTAATGACCATCTAGAATGTACGGTGTAGGTGTGTAAAAATACACACTGACAAATGACCGTATATCACTCTAAAAAGAATTGTGTCGCATTATGTGTGGATGTGTCGCAAACAGCTCTTCATGTCGCAAAAAGAATAATGTGTCGCAGAGTCTTGCGGAAAAATGATACAGTCTGGTTGTGTAAACCGTCTGTGATGAAAATGCTTCAGATTCATTGATCGAGCGTTCGTTCGAATCTCTCGTATACATAATTTCTTCTTCACTTCTTATCCGTTTTGCCTCGAAAAGTACATACATTAGCGCAAAATCGACTTTTTACACGAAGGACAGAATCGGTTTAAATTTTTTTTCTGAAGAGCTTATTATATGAATCGACGGTCAGCAATGTATCTCTTGATTCAAATCACTTTTCGCGTTTTGGCGCGAATAGTATTACTTGCTGACCGTCGATTCATATAATAAGCTCTTCAGAAAAATAATTTGAAGGGAGTCTGTCCTCCGTGTAATAAGTCGACTTTGCGCTAATATACTTTCGAAGACACTGGTCACCATTTCGAAATTATTTTTTCGTTTATGCAGTAACTAGCGAGAAAAATAGAAAATACTAAAACTGTTCAACACACTTAGCTTTTTACACACTGAGATTGACCGCTTAAAAAAAGTACACACTTTTCGATGGTGATTGAACGTTTAAGCTATATTACAAGCCGAGCAACACAAATTTCTTTTGCAGTGTAGACGCTTATTTCGCGAAGTATTATTTTGTCCTGCTTTACTTTCTGAGCAAACACATGAACTCCGGGTTTCCTGATGACATTTAAACTCTATTTATTTGAAAGAAGATAAAGTAACGCCATTTGATGTGAAGGACTGCAGCAGACTCAGTTGATTTCTGGTTAACGAAGATGTCTTTCGTAAATCCCTTTCTAAGCGCACTTTCTGATGGATAGTCTCCTCTAAACTCTTGATGAGTTCTTCTAGCTGGTGAGTGAAATGGAGTAGACAAGTTAGAAATGTTGTCTGACTTACTATGAAATTAAGTGAAGAGTTGATGGTTTGCTGGAACGCTAAATAATGGATGAAATATCTTTTGGTAATATAAATGATTTAGTGGTATGCAATCATCAAATGACAAAAAATATCGTACACCTTTTATACGCTGAGTAAGAAAAAATACTGAAGTGCAGCAATAGATGTTTGTTTTATGCGTCATGTGATGTCAAAATCAAGGCGTGTATGTTAGTCATCGCAATGCTTTTATTTATTCACATTATCTTGATAAGTTGTGAAAAATATGTATTTCAGTTTATTGCGCTGCCTTACAGACAACAACGCAAGAGAGAAGACAAGTAAAAATGAGTCACCGCAGAAAAAATCCTAAAACAGTAAAACTTCGACATCTCCTAGATGAAAAACTGCTTTTGGTTTTCAACGTGATACTGAGAGTCGATATGATTTACTTAATGATCCAGTTAATGAAAATCTGAAAACAAAAATGTTCTGATATCCTTACGGGAGCGAATCTCAGAAAAAAACAAAAAACGAGTTTTATACATTTTTTTTCCAAAGAAAAAAGATTTATGTGGGGCAACAGGAGAAAAAGAATGTTTAGAACGACAACAATAAGAACGAAAAAACGAAGATTTTTTAAAACAGCAACAGTAAAATGATAAGCCAAGAAAAAGAATACGGGAAACCCTCAGAGAAAACAAACATTAGAATATACGATGTAGATAAAGAAAAATTTGAATGACGTACAATTAATGTATTATTTGTCACTATACTTGTTATAGCTATCATCAGATAAAGGAAAAAAAGCACACAGCGCAAAAAAAGCAAAAGGAACAGATCTGTCAAAAACAGTATTATATAAATTACATACTAATTTAAAAGAAAAAAAAAGAAGAATCAGTACTGGAATATTTTAATTTATGTACACATAGATTTAACTTAATTCATTTGAATAAAAACGAGATGGAAACGATAATTGCATATTATTTTGATTATTTTAAATAATAAAATTTTAAATGTTTCATTTATTGTTTGTTTAGATAAACCTTCAACTTTAAACAATTCACTTATAACTTTTCTTTCACAGATATGACATTAACAACAAAAAATGATGCTAAATCACTACCAATTGCAGCACAAGCATAAATTGTTTTACGACGATCTTCATCTGAATCGTTACAGAAAAACGGCTCAATTTTTCATTTTCAAAAACAACATTCTGTTTTTGATGAAAATACGTTAAGGTTAAGTCTACTTTAACGACTAAATCCGAAGATGCTTATGATCCGCAGGGTTCCCAAAATGAAATCGAAAAAATTATTCGAATTTTACGCGCTGGAACGGTTATTTTAAATTTAGGACCTTCCCATATTTTTTAATTTTCTTATTGAAAACATTAGTTCGGAAGCTTAAAACGGACATATTCTTGATCAGCTCGAGGTACTCTGTTCAACCATGTATAAATAAGCCAGAAATAATGCTTAAACTTCGAATTACTGGTGCATTATGGCTGACTATCTATCAGACAATATCATACAGTCAGACTTAGACCTCAGTGTAGATTAAGAGAGTAGAGCCATCTGATCTAGTCACAGTTAATATTTTCCGTTATCTAAACTTCGTGTGTTTCAACCTTCTAACAAATTCCTTTCTTCATCTTTTAGATATGAATCTTCGAGCAAAGAAAAATATTGATTATGTTCGACTAATAGCAGAGGAATAGTTCTTCAACAACAACAATCTCAACTCATCAAAAAGCTATAAAAACCAAACAAGTGGCAACTCGATCGAATGACCAATGGAGAAAAAACTAAAACATCATCGTGAGCAATATATGTTCAACAACATCAAATCAACAGTTCAATTAATGGTAGCAAAAAAATTACTCGCTGGTGGTATTGATCTAAATAACCTGTTATAGAACAAGTTAGAGAACAGATATACATGAACGAATATCTATTTTTGTGTGGCTTTTGTTCTATAACTGTTCATCATAAACTTCAAAGAAATCCAAGTAAAATCAGTAGATATTCCATGGTTCGGGAGCTATAGGCATTTTTAGAAGGATCTGTTCAACGGCTGAACTTTACGTTTGCCTTTCAGAACACATGGAGCAGGGGTTACCAACCACGATGAAGCTTATGGCAATGTTTGTTTTTCGAAAAGGTTTTCGAAAACTAGCGAAAACCTTTACTAGACGCAATAATCAGTTTTCACCATTTTCACGGATAATTAAAAAATTCATAACTGGGTCAAAATTGTTCCAAACTGCTTCAAAATATCAGCTTAAATTCAACAGGAAGTACTCTGCTTTTTAAAGGTTTTCGGGACAGCTTTGAGTATAAGGGAGTGATTCGTACTGATTTCTGCTACAAAAAATACGGTTAAGCACATAAGATGGAGTATATGTTAATATTTTGAAGCAGTTTGGAACAATTCTGACCCACTTATGAATTTTTTAATTTTCAGTGAAAATGGTGGGAAAAAGATTATCCCGTCTAGTAAAAATATGGGACTCGTGTAGTTTTACAGGGGCAATCTAGAAGCTCGAATCAACCAATTCAAAATACTCTTTTGTTCTTGAAATGAGTAGTTTTAAGATTTTGTTCGACGAGGTACACCATGGCAAACCTTATCGAAAGACTAATTCCTCCACAGATTTCTTTTCCAGTAGCTTGTCTACTAAATACTATAAACCACACGATTCTAGCTCTTCGCATGAAAAAGTTATTCAAAAAATACTTTTTTTCATTCTATTTTGAAATGGATAGTAGTTGAATTTAGCTAGTTCAACGGTACATTTCTGTTTACTAATTAAACGGGTTGAAGTCCTCCACAGCTGTTAGAATGAGGATTGCGTTTCAAGATTAAATGATGCAAAGATAGATTACGCTCTAAACCATATGTCTATGCTAAAACACTTTTTTTTCTAGATTCGAGGACGGTATTCAGCTTCGCCAACCTTCGAAGCTGATTTGGATCTTAAAAAATATCTTGTTGTTGATGATCATCATCGAATCGCAAACAATTTACTCTTCTGTACTCATGGTTCGAAAACTTTAGTTGTCACACCAAAAGAACGTCAATAATTCACGTTAGACAATCGTGGCTATTTGTTGATTAGATTTGCTGAAAATAGCATTATTGAAAAACGAAGATATCGTTAAAAGAACTAGAAAAAGAGTTTATCTTTCTTCTTTGTCTTTCTTACTTGCAAATAGAATAAACGTATTGGTAACTCTCTATTAATGTTTTCGTCTTTTTTCCATTTTCTGACACTTGAAATTTCATAAACATTTTTGTTTGTAATAGGTAGAATTTTCATTAAGAAAAGTATAACTGGAAGCAGCAGTTTTTAAACATTGGAAATTAAAAATGATTAAAACTGCTGCTTTAGTTATAC